CAGGTATGCTATATGTTTGATACACTCATATTTTAAATAATGATAATAAGAATTATTCATTCAGATTTATGCAGTTTCCACATAACTTGTTAGTCAAGAAATCTGTTAAGTTTCTTTCATTTCAGCTACCAGTTGTTCTGTGACATTCCCCTAAGTTACCACGTTTGTCTTCCCTCTGAAAAAGTATCTACGAAGTTGTATGCTATGTGTAAAAACATACAATAATCTTTTCCATAAGCAGATCAGATGCTGTCTCGAAGCTACAATCTCCTGTATGTTTCATTGGAAATTATCAACAGCCACATGGGTAGGGTAAGCGCTTTGGGAGAATATAGTATTGTATATAATGCTATGTTTTCTCAGTCTGGAACGGATTTTTACAGATTTTGAGACTCTCACAGCTTCAGCAAATTTTGTTACAAATCACAGGCTTTGAATGCTATCTCCAGTAAATATGTTGTCCTCCATCCACAAACACACACACACACACATACAATATTTGATATGTTATTAAATAAAGGATAGTAATTTTCCACTATATTTTTACATTATATCCAGTCTCTTTCTTTCACAAACACAGATATGTTCAGAGAATTCGAAATTACTTTGTAATATATTTCCTAGTAGAATCTCCTGATATTATGTGGGAAATATTTTGTCAGCTTTACCCGGTGTTACCACATCAGTAACACGACTAACAAGATGTGACTCGTATATGTAAAATGAGATTTAATTTGGTATAGTTATGATATGAGTAGTCCAATCAAGAATGTTTCTTCACTGGACACAACCCCTTCCCAACCTTGCGCAGATTCCACACACTAGCACTCACAAAAGTAACAAAAATCAGCATCTATGTTCTATCTTATCAATTTTTATAACATAAAGTGGTAAGTGAATGATCCTATAGCATAAATTATTTTTTCATGGATGAGATTTGAAGCTAAGGAAAGTCATACACCATGAAATGTAGTCGACAACTAGGTCATTTTATTACAGTAAGTTTTCAATGATTTTAAAATTGCAGAAACAAATACCTGCACGTTTTAAAAATGAGTTATAATACAAATAACTTATACATACTTAATACGTTTATTTCTAAAACTAAATTTTCAGACAGTTCAGTCTATACACAACTCTACCTTTCCCAGGGCAAGCGCACTATCAACGTCACTGTTGGTCATTCCATCGAAAAATAAATGTGGTTGTACTCACAAGATATAATTTGATCTGCCAATGGAAAAGATTGCCGATTACCTCTATATAATGTGTTCAACTTCAGAGAAGCTTCTCCCCGGGAAGGCATACATGATATTTTACGTGAATGACCCAGTTGAATAGGTAACTCGGGCGAAAGGAATTTATATACTTCCCTGACTAACGTTCTATAGTTAAAACCACATACACTTATACGTACGAAAACTTTGAAATTTTTTATATGTAAACTAGATTTAAATAAATGGGGTGGGAAATACGTAGCATGCCTACATAGTTCAAAAATAACGAGTGTAGATATAGGGAATGTGGAAGAGTAGATTTAGAGATTCCACGCTTGCATTTACTCTTGTTTTGGGGGTTTAGTTTTCTTTATTTATGCTTATTTTTCATCACTTATTGTGTAGCTAGCCAATTGAAGTATGTTTTTGTTCTTTAGTCTATGACTCAGATAATATTTCAAATTTTTGAAGACCGTATCTTAAAAGAGACCCTGGAACCGACTCTATTTAGGATTTAAAGTGTTATACAACACAACCGTCATCCATGATCCATTTAACCTAAATGAATGATTGTTTGGGAATTTTTTGAAAATCAATTAATAATAAAGTTAGCTGACCACTGTATCAATTAAATATGTATTTATTAAGTTGAAATAACCAATTGCTGTAAAATTATTTTATGGTAATTGTACATATCACGAATATTGCTATAAATCGATTTCACCTAGATTTTTGATTCACGTGGAATTACCAGAGATACTCACAGACCGTAGTATTTGCGCTGCTTTCTTGCTTCATACATTTCTTAAATATGTACAAAAATATTCGTTTTTGATATGTGAAATTACTAGATTCAAATTAAAAATTTAGATTTTTTAACTAATTTCAGAAGAGAAATATGTATACGCAAGTAGTCCTATAAGGGGAAGTGAGATGTCGGTCAGTGAGTTCAGTTAGATATGTTCGCTTTTTCAAAAAAAGAATCTATAGTTCGATTCTTCGCGGTGGATAAATGCAGATAACTCATTCTGTAGCTTTGCATTAAGAAAACAACAAAAACATATTGAATAAATAAATTATAAATATATGTGCTAGTCTGAACACATAGGAATATATATATATATGTGTATATATATGTATATATATGCACAGAAACACACAAACATGAATAACTTGTAAAGATCCGTTCATGTACCTTCTGATGATACACAAAAGCGTAAATTTATATACATATATACAAGTAAGTAACTAGAGTATTTTTCTCTCTCCGCTTGTAATTACCTTTATGAAGAAATGATCACAAGTTTATTGAAACAGCATATTCAAGTTGATTTAGAAATAATGTGTATTTGCCTTGGACTGTAATTCTGTCTGAAAATTATAATTACTAAACAAATTTTTTACAAAAGCGTACTCTTCCCGGGAAAGTTCTCAGGTATGGATGGAATGGTATAAACAAAGCTCAGACAATAATCTTATTGGTGAGCATGTATAATAAATAGTTAACCTTTGGGTAAGTAATAAAATAAATAAAAATGCTAGCGAAAACAAAAGACACAATAAAAGGTGGAATAAAATATCTCCAATTCATTTGACGCTATTTTTCTTGCAATTTATGTGATATGTCAATTTCTATACCAGTTGATATTTTACTGCAAGGATGCACAGTGGCCTACCTGTGTCTACTACGGAGATCGAACTCTTGAATTCTAGCGTTATAAGCATTGAAATTTATCGTTAAGCCCTGAGTGGACATTTTATTTCGTTTAAATTTCGTATTAGAAATAAGTCAACATGTACTTTTCCAAACTTCTCAATTTGGGTTAAGTAGCAATTAAGTCTACACTTTCAGCCTTATAGTCCATAACATAATTCCCATCACTGCTATGTTCAAACAGTGTGGATTAATTAAAGTGATTTATACCATATTTGTACTTTTTTATTTACTATGCAGGAAAGTACTCCAAATTGGGATCCTACAAAAATCATTCTAGTAGACCTTTTCTCTCAATAAAGAGCCCGGCATGGCCAGGTGGATAAGGCGTTTGACTCACAATCTGAGGGTCGCGGGTTCGAATCCGCATCCCACCAAACATGCTCGCCCTTTCAGCCGTGGGGCGTTAT